TTACAATGTCTTGGGACATTCGGCAGAAGAATGACATGGGGCCCACATATTAACAAAAAAGGGAAAACGTTAAACCTCATTCTACGAATATTATACTAACTTCTTTCAAGACGCTCAAAATTAACATTAAAACCGAAACTGAACATTTATATTTATCTACTAAAGCTTATATGGACCTACGCTTCAGAAATATACGACCCACATTCTACAAACCTTTCAATCAAAAACTTTTAGAACTATAACCAAAGCTCCATGGTACGAACATTACTTTACATAAAGATCTAAATATACCAACAGTAACGACCATGTACGGACACACTACAAAATATTTTACAATAACTTGGACATATTAAAACCTTATACAAGTCATGGCCACGAATAACATGCCCGAAAACAAGCTTCAGGGAGGGTAAGGTAGGATACAAAAGAAGCAGGATTTTTTTACTTAAACTTTACTAAAATCAAGTAAAGAAGGGATTCTGCTTGGCACTCCTTTTCATCACACCGATTAAGACACTATCAGTATTTTTCCGACAGCAGAATTTTCAGTACTCATGGCATGTGTGGGCAAGGAAATTAAGTTACAAAATATATTTTACATAAAACTCAACAAATGTCATTTTCTTGTTTTGAAAGTTAACCTTGATTTCGGCAGGCGTGTCATATATACCAAGCCGCATAAAAACCTATACAAAATTCAAGTTACTCCAAACGGATCAATTCGTTTGTTTTTTATTTTCAATCCTTTTTTTACTTTTATTAAAGTATATTTTTAAACTTTATTACTTCCGTCCCATTTATACACTGACAGGCAAAAAAATTCCACCCACTTGCAAAAAAAATTGTATTTGTATATAATACATGGTATTTGTAGATAATACTTAGTATTTATGGAATTTTATAATCTTTTTTACCTTTGATAATCAAAATGTGATTGGGTAAGGAATATTAGAGAAAAAAAAAAATTGAAAAACGAACCATTATTATTCTAAAAGAAATTAATTACATCATCGTTTAGTAGCGCGTGTTTCCTCTTCTTGCCTTCACTACTTCTTGAAGACGCCTCGGCATACTTTCCACCAGTCGGGAAATGTCTATTTGCTGGAGGATAGCCCATTCCTCCCGAGGAGCCCTTTTAAGGTCCTGCAGTGTATCAGGAAGTGTTGCACGCTCTCTTATTCGTCTTCCGAGGTTATCCCATAAATGCTCAATGGGGTTCAAATCTGGAAGAACGCCAGGCTAAAATCTCAACATTGTTCTGTTTAAGGAACGTCTGTAATATAAGAGCGACATGTGGGCGTGCATTATCGTGCATTAGAATAGAACGATCGCCGATTTCGTTGAGGATAGGTAACACATGAGGTTCCAAAATCTCATCTACATAGCGATTGGCCGTCAAAGACCCTCCACGAACAACAACCAATTCTGTACGGCGCTCCATTGAAATCCCAGTCCACACCATTAAGGAACCACATTGGAAAGGTTGGCTCTGGGAAAAATTAGAGGCTGCATATCTTTCGTTTCTTCTTCTCCATACCCTTTCACGCCCGTCTGGAGATCGAAAAGCGAATCTTGACTCATCAGTAAAAAGTACAGCACTCCATTCGTCCATAGTCCAATGGCTTGTTCTCGAGCAAAAGCCAGCCGTGTTACTCTGTGAGTTCTGGTCAACTCTGGTCCTCTTACTGGACGAAAAGCCATTAATCCATACTCATTTAATCTTCTCCGAGCGGTACGTTCAGAAATTTGCACACCTCGAACTTCTTCGAGCTGATGAATCGCTTGAACAACGGTAAGTTGTCGGTTTCGTAAAATTCTCAAAGTCAAAAACCGGTCATCCCGTGGTTCTGTTACCCTAGGCCGTCCAGAACCGGGCCTTCTATTGTAAGAAACAGTTTCCCAAAAACGCCTGACGGCTTCTCGTAAAGTTTCATATGGAACTCTGATGGCATTAGCTGCATATCTAATGGAACGTCCATCATCAATAAGTGCCACACCACGCGCAACATCCTCAGCACTAAGAGGCATTTTTAAACTTAATATTGAAAACATTAAAAGAAGGAGACTAAGAAATGTGCTGCACGAAACGGCACTGAACTAATGATAGTGAATAAACATTTTGATTCCATAGAAAGTAAACATTGGAATCTAGAATCATTTCATTGAATTAAGGATTAAGGGTTATTGTCCTCTATATTAACATTCCTAATTGAAAACAAACAAAAAGATTACCTATTTATTCATTAAAACAATAGACCAATCCAAAGCAGATATATTTTAAGATGAAATTATGAATAAATCAAGTGGGTGGAATTTTTTGCCTGTCAGTGTATGCACTTATATTTTTGATTGGGAATTGAACAGGATACATATTACAATTCACTTGGTCAACATTAAATTTATTAATATTTATTTACACAAATAATGAAAATTAAATTTTTATTAACAAAGAATAGTTATATTTTATGTTTATTACTATTTTTTTTTTATTAACATGAAACACATAAATATCTATACATACATGTATATACCACTAACAACTGTTTTATTTTAAACATTAATAAGAAAGTGTATACTGTTAATTGTAAATACAACGTTGGCATCTTGATGTAGTTACACAAACAACAAAGAAATGTAGAATATTGCAATAGTAGAAACAGGAAATGTACAGCACGTGACAAATAGTTAACCATATTGTTCAATATACACATAGCTAATTTAATATGGAGATAGAAAAGTTTTGTTTGCAAATGTACATACATATGTTATATAATTTTATTTTTTTTAATATTCAAAACTACATCAACAATATCAAAAATACTTAAATTTTTTTAAATACAATTATAAAAAAAAATATCTTCAGATTGTAACTATTTAGTAGTGCTTCCAAAGAATTCCAAATCTTATAATTTATTTTTGTTCTCCTATAAACTAAAATGTCTTTTGATTGATTTTGAATTACGAAGTTATAATGATATAATGTTCTTCTTATTATTTAATTTTAATTTTTTTTTTTTAATGTTTTACCAATAAATAAAAAAATATTAATAATGTACAACCAACTATTGATAAATTAAATTTTACTCATGTAACGCTTGAATTCAATTATATCATTATTATAAAAAGTAGAACGATTAAAAAATAAGAGGTATATACCATCAAAACTTATTTACACCAAACATTAAAATCAATCACAAATATGAATATTGTTAATTAACAATATGGATAAAAAATGATTTATTGATATTTTTATGACAGAACGTTTTAATATAATAATTTTTTAATATTTTAAGGATACATTTATTTAAATAAAAAAGTAATAACTTTACTATTTATCAAAATTACTGAACCAAGGGACATTTTACAACCATTTCAAATAATCTATTTTCAAAAATATAAAAAATATTTTACGTTCTGTAACGTCGATACAGCCCTATACGTAATAGGTTCTTGGATAGATAATATATTGTGAAAATGGACAAAGGAAATATATTAAAATTATTCTTAAACATATATCTTTAATTACACTAAAACACTCAGGTATTTCACGTATTAAAAAAAGAAGTTATATACAATTGAAGCCAAAAAATGAAACATATGTGAGAAGTTAAGTTTCAAAACCAAGCATTAACAGGTTCATTTTTTTCAGAATAGGTAGAAATCAATTGATTTAAAAAAAAAAATTGTCGTTCTCTAATTTAGTTTGTAATTATATTTAATGTATTACATAGTCATTAAATTGTAATGTAATAATATATACAATAATTGGAAGGTATTGTTAAAAAAGTTTTATAATCATAATTTTTTTTTTATTTCCGTTTAAATGCAAATGTGTTGGATTTAACTGACATGAATTAAAGAAGAAAATTTGTGACTAATTCAGATTTTATTGGAAAAGTATTTTTAAATTATCTGACTTATCGTTTATTATTTTCGTTTTATTATTAGTTAATTTTTTCTATTGTTCAAAATGCTTTGGAACTTCAAACATTCAAGAGTTCAAAAACTGTTACCAAAGCCTGTAATAAAAATGAAATTATTTAATTCTATTATTCCATACATTTAATGCTAAACGAAAAATATGGATGGGATCGGTTTTGTTACCAAACTCTACATATGTTGTTGGTTTGGAAAAAGATAGCCACAATAAGAAAGTAATTATTTTTCTTTTTTTTTTTTTTTGGTTGACTACTATTCTTTTATATTTATTTGAAAAAATGTTGCAGATATTTAATTTTATTATTTACACATAAATTAAATTTATTTTTATAATGAAAAACTGTTTCAATTTAATGTACGGTTTATATATATTCAACTAAAAAATATATATGGTTAAATTTAATGAAATATTAAAGTGAATTGGGGTTAGCAAAACCTTAATATGAAAACACTTCTGTACAATTTCACATTTTTCCATTGTGGCACTCTTCTTGCAAGTGAACGGTATATTTAATAATTTAATGGAAATATTTAATTAAGAAATTAATTAACAAAATAATAAAGAATTGTTCATAAACGTGTTTAAATATGAAGCACATAAATCATTTCATAGTGTTTTTTTATTAATATTAATATACGTTAATTGAGCACTGTTGATAAACAATTCCAAAATTTAACATAACCTATACAAAAACATTTCCTATCTCCAGTTATAAACAATTGTTTACTTACATACCAAATGGGACAAAGCTTTAGATCACATATCATACAAACAACATCGAGTCGACATTTTTAAAAATATATATATATATTGTCATTTTTATTTTTTTTATTTATTTTTTTAAAACTTTTTTTCTGTCTATAAACGAATACAAAATCTTAATAGCTATATAAAATATTTATGAGATTATTGAAACAAATCAAACGACCGTACGACCTTTCGGTTGACGACGTCACTTTTTTTTTTTTAATATATTCTTTTAAAAATTGATCACACAGAAAAATAGACACTCCGGAGATGCGGTAGAGGATTTGGCCAAGGTACTCCACAGATCGGGAGATTAGGTGACTGCTACGTAGAAGGCAGTGGAGAAGATCAAGAGGAGGATCATGGCTACAGCTGGAGCTGCCGAAGAGGAGAGGGCTGAAGCAGCTGCTTCCAGGCAGCTCCTGTATTCAGAGTTCTCTAGCCGTGTGACAGCGCAGAAGTGCGACTGAGCGCACGACGTGTCGCACATGCCATCCTTTGGGTTACTGTACATCCTGACGGCGTTGGCGACGTAGTACCTGAAAAGAACAAACAAAAATAAAATTTAGTTTATGTAAGTTCATATGCCGATGACACATGTATCCTATCAGTCAACAACGATCCATCTATTGCATCCCAAACACTTCAATCACACATCAAAAGTCTTGAAAAATGGTGTCAAAACTGGAGGATTAAAATAAACTCCAATAAATCCCATCAGATTACCTTTACTCTTCGTCGTAAACCTATGACTTCCTGCCCTACAGCATCCTTTAACAATACCCCACTTATCCCTGTTGACCAAATCCGATACCTAGGACTCCACCTTGACAAACGCCTCACTTGGAACTCCCATACCAGACTGAAACGACTAGAAACCGCCCGACGTTTCCGACTACTCCAGCAATTACTAGACAAACGCTCTAAACTGCCAACTACTCATACAAAAGACTCATATATATTACTATAATAAGGCCTATTTGGACTTACGGGATCGAGCTTTGGGGCTCTACTAAACCATCAAATTCCTCTCGTATCCAATCCCTACAATCCAAAATCCTTCCTAAAATCCTTAATGCTCCCTACTTTGTCACAAATAAAATCATCCATAATGACCTTAATGGCCACATGTTTCCGATGTAGCTCAATCCAGATACCTGTCCTTTCATAATAAACTTCCGAACCTTATCGTTTCCAACATTGCTTCCTCTTCTATTCCTGATAACCATCCGAGGCGTCTGAAAAGAAGATGGCCTCGGGACTTTCTAATATAGAAATATAATTGGAGTGCTACCAGTAGATAGTTCTTCTTCATGTTGTACATGTCATGTTACTTGTTCATATTTACTTGTTGTATTTATTATTAATTACAGTTGTAAATTTCTTTAATAAAAAAAATTATGTAAGTTAATAACTATTATAATATATATTTATTAAAATTTAGTTACAATTACAATCAGGCATATAAAAACATTGGAGGGTGTAGGATGTAAGATATAATTTTTGTGGTTAACATGTCACTCAGGTATTAGAGGTAATGAGCTAGCTGATATCATGGCAAAACAAGCAATCACGGAAGGAACTCCAGTAGGGGATGCTTTTCCAAAAGAAATAGTAGCTTTGGTAAAGAGAAAGGCTCTGGGAAAATGTCAAGGTCTCTGGCATGTGTTAAGAGAGAATAAGTTGGGAGTGGTCGAGCCCTCTGTAGTTCCAAATAGAGCGGGCCTTCAGTTAAAAAGAAGAGAAGAAATAATACTGACAAGGCTCCAAATCGGACACTCACGGCTAACTCATGAACACCTGATGAAGATAAATTAGTATAATTGAAGAGAAGGGTGGTTGGGGTGATCAGTCAAGATACAAAATATTAAAAATAAATAATTATATTTATTTTTATATTTGCCGACTTTTCGGCCCAAAATTCAGGCTTTTATCAGGGCTAAGAAAAAACAGATAACAATATGTATAAGAAACTATAAATAATGAATAACAGAGAATCAAAATGAAAAAGGTGAAAGATATAGACTAAAAAATGTAGGTAGAATACACTTAAAGCAAAATAAAGTAGATACAGTGAACATTAAAGTAACATAAAGAAGGTAGAATAATAACAGTAACAGGGAACAACGAAATAAATAAGAATCTCCGGACTAATGAAATAAACATAATCAAAATAATGTAACATAAGAAATGAAAATGGTAATCTTATTTTGTCTTATTCATTTTTTATTTCTTATGGTACCTTATTTTGATTATGTTTATTTCATTTCTTCTACCTACTTTATTTTACTTTAATGTTCACTGGTTAATATTAATGTTCACTCTATCTACTTTTACTATAAGGTTATTCTACGTATATTTTTAGTCTAAACCTTTCACATTTTTAATTTTAATTCTTTATTATTCAACGTTTATAGTTTCCCATACCCGTTGTTATCTGGTTTTCCTTAGTCTAGATGAAGGCCTGAAGTTCGGGCAGAAACGTCAGCAAATTTTTACGTAACGTCGGCAACACTTTCCCTATCTTTAAGTTATTTTTAATTTATTGTTTATGTATCCCTGTTGAACAAATCCGGTACTATGTACTCCACTTGGACAAACGTCTAACTTGGAATTCTCACACCAGACTTAAACGACAAGAAACCGCTCGACTTTTCCGACTATTCCAGCACTTACTAGACAAACGCTCTAAGCTTTCAGTTAATTACAAAAGACTCATATACATGACTTCGAGATTTCGAGATCCACAAAGCCATCGAATTCCTCACGTATCCAATCCTTACAATCCAAAATCCTCTAATGCTCCTTACTTTGTCCTTAATAAAATCATCCATAACGACCTTGATTTTCCTTATGTTTCCGAATCGACCCAATCCAGATAACTATCCTTTCATAATAAACTTCAGAATCATCCGAACCCTCTCGTTTCTAACACAGACGCCTCAAGTCTGAAAAGAAGATGGCCTCGAGATTTTCTATTGTATACATTTTTTTTTAGAGTACTAACAGCTGGTACTTTCTCAATAAGTGTTTTCATGTTTTTATTTTCTGTTATCACCTTTACTGAATGTATTTTTTCTTAATACAGTTGTAAATACCATAAATAAAAAAAATGTATATACGTTTTGATTATTATTTAGTGGCTATTTTTCTTCTGATTATTTTATCTTTTTTGTAAATATGGAATGAATGTGGTCTTCTTCCCCTTTAATTATTTCCCAAGTGGCAGAATATTATGTTACTAAATAAATAAAAAAATATTTACAATATTTTAGAAAGTATTCTATCTAAGTTGGTGCATATAATTTTCGATAAATAATCTCAGAAATTTTCACTGGCATCGTTGGCATAAAAAATCATTTTATTTTTGTTTTCTCGAGTACTTTATTTAAAAAATAATAAAAAAGATTTGGTAATATATAAGTAATAAGATTAATTGAGAAGCATAAAAAGAGAGAAGGATTTAAAGACGAGATCCTTGAGGCGGAGTGGAAGAGATAGGAAGGACCGAGCTTATCCTTAGAAGGCATCTTTTTCGCCCGGGCTAAATGGAGAAGAATGAAAGTGATTGGTTGGTTCCAGGCCACACTCCTGCGTCTCCTTCATTTGCTAAGAGCAGAAAAAGAAACAGTTCTCGTTCTGGGACAATAGTGAATGCAACATGGCATTGTAATACTTTAAATTTCGACCTAATAAAACAATAAATTACATTTGTAAAAATAAAGAAAGAAAGAAAAAAAGTTCTAACTTTAAAAATATTGGCTCAGGTTACGTTATTCCTTGACGCAATTGATCTTCGATGGAAAACTTTTTTGTGCGTGGTAAATAATGAACTATTCCCTCCCCCAACTGTCTCTTTTATTATATCTCCCTCCCTCTCTGTATTTTCAGCCATTTGTTTAAGTCTATTTTTTTAGTTTAACCATTCGGTCTTCATAATCCGTTCATACCTTACTGATCGATATTTCAGTCATGATAATGCATGTTCATCCCTCTTTTCCCAGTCTGCTGGTGTTCCTCAAGGGAGCATCCTCAGTCCTATTCTTTATACAGTTTATACAGCTGATATTCCAATCCATTCCAACACGGTCAGCACACTTGTATCCTATATGTTAATAATGACCCTTTGATTGAATCACATAACAAACCTTGAAGAATGGTGTCATAACTGGAGAATAAAAATAAATTCCAATAAATCCCATCAAATTACCTTTACTCTTCTTCGTAAACCTACAACTTCTTGTCCTACAATATTCTTCAATGATATTCCACTTGTTCCTGTTGAACAAATCCGCTACCTAGGACTCCACTAGGATAAACGTCTCACTTGGAATCCGCATACTAGACTGCAGCGAAAAGAAACTGTTCGACGTTTCGGCTTACTCCAACACTTACTAGACAAACGCTCTAAACTTTCAATTAATTACAAAAGAATCATCCACTTAACCATAATAAGAACTGGACATACGGAATTGAGCTTTGGGGCTCTACAAAAACCATCGAATTCCAATCGAATCTAATCCTTACAATCCAAAATCCTTCGTAAAATCCTCAATGCTCCATATGGAGCTGATTTAGCCCGAGCCTGATACCTATCCTTTTATGATAAACTCATGTTACATCCGAATCCCCTTGTTTCCAACCTTGCTTCTTCCTCGATTCCTGATAATCCCCGTAGGCGTATGAAAAGAAGATGGTCTCGTGATCTTCTAATCTAGAATTAAATAGGGAGTGCTACCACTGGGCAGTATCTGTTCAACTCTATTCATGATTTCTAATGTGTGCATTTTAACTAGTTGTATTGTTTATACAGTTGTAAATTTCATTAAATAAATTTTTTTTTGGTTTAATTTTTTATTCACACCAGTCATAGTGGTAATGACAACCAGTGAATGTGAGGTCGATTGGAAAAAAATAATGTCGTGAAAGGCATTATGAGGATCAGTGCCCAGCGGCACCTCACTCGGCGTGATATCTACATTAGGCGAGGAGGTCCCTCATCCAGCTCCTCTTCAGTCTCCTACAGACGTTACCTGGCATATTCGTAGTGACCATGTCATTTATAAGTGTATTAGGATGTCCTTGTAAGTTGTCATGGAATCGTTTGTAATGAGTTCGTATGTGTTCGTTAACAGTCGGCATATGGAGGTCAGTATGTAAGGTTATGTTGCTAACGTACCAAGGTGCTTTTGTGATTGTCCTGAATGTTTTTGCTTGAAAAGTTTGAAGTTTGTTTAAGTGAGTCTTTTTAGCAGTTCCAAATATCTGTGATGCGTAAGTCCAAATAGGTTTTAGTAAGTATGTGTTCAATTTCTGTCTAAGTTTTAGTTTTGAACTTTTCGAAAGAAGTGAACTCAGAATTCTTAACCTTTGATTTAGCGTTTTTCGCTTCTTGATTATATTTAAATAATTTAAAAAAAAAATACCTTTCGGTCCAAGAATATCCTTTTGCACAATTATTTGTATATCCGGTATAAGAGTAGGTGGAAAATCTTAGTACTAAAATGTCATCCG